AGGGTGAAAATATACAGCCTTGCCATATTCCTTCCCCAGTTTTGAACCAATCAGTAGTTCCATGTCCAGTTCTCACTGATGCTTCTTGACCCAAATACAGGTTTCTCAGGAGACAAATAAGAAGGTCTGGTACTCCCATCTCTTTAAGAACTTGCCACAATTGGTTGTGATTCACAGTATCAAAGGTTTTAGTGTAGTCAATAAAGCAGAAGTAGATGTAGTAGTAGCTTTCTCCATGATCCAGCATAAGTTGGCAATTTGATCTCTAGTTCCTCTGCCTCTTCAAACCCAGCTTGTACTTTGAAACCCAGCTGGTAGTTCTTGGTTCACATACTGCAGGAGCCTAGCTTGTAGGATTCTGAACACAACTCTGCTAGCATATGAAATGAGCGCAATGGTACAGTAGTTTGAACATTTTTTGGCATTGCACTTCTTTGGGATTGGAACATAAACTGACATTTTCCAGTCCTGTGGCCACTACTGCATTTTCCAGATTTGCTGGCATATTGAATGTAGCACTTTAACTGCCTCATCTTTTAGGATTTTGAATAGCTCAGCTGGAATACTGTCTCCTCCACTAGCTTTGTTGTTGCTCAGACTTCCGAAGGCCCATTTGACTTCACATTCCAGGATGTCTGGTTTGAGGTCAGTGAACACCCCATTGTGGTTATCAGGGATATTATACTCGATCTTGTATAGTTCTTGTGTCAAATCTTGCCACCTCTTCTGCATCTCTTCTGTTAGGTCTCTGCCATTTTGGTCATTTATCATGCCCATGTTTGCATGGGATGTTCCCTTGATATCTCAAATTTTCTTGAAGGGATCTCTAGTTGTCCCCATTCTGTTGTTTCCTTCTATTTCTTTGCCCTGTTCATTTAAGAAGACCTTTTGCTTTCTTGCATTTCTTTTTCTTTGGGATTGTTTTAGTTGCTACATCCTGTACAGTGTTGTGAACCTCTGACCATAATCCTCCAGACACTCTCTTAATTCAGACCTAATTCCTTAAATCTATTTGTCTCCTCTGCTGTATATGCATCAGGGATATGATTTAGGTCATTCCTGAGTAGCCTAGTGCTTTTCCCTGCTTTCTTCAATTTAAGCCTAAGTTTTGCAACGAGAAGGTCATGATCTGAGCCACAGTCGGCTCCTGGTCTTGTTTTTACTGTCTGTATAGAGCTTCTCCATTTTGGTTTGCAGAGCATATAATCATTCTAATTTCTGTGGTGACTATCTGGTAATGTCCATGTGGAGATTCATCTCTTGGGTTGTTGGAAAAGAGTGCCATGACCAGCGTGTTCTCCTGGCAAAATTCTGCCAGCCTTTGCCCTGTTTCCTTTTGT